TATTCTGGGTTTTCTCCTGTCTGTCCACTCACAAAACAGCAGCCCTTTCAAGGCCAAAGAAAGGTCCTACACCTCACCCAGCACCCATCAGTGAACTTCACTTTTGTCCAGCCCTCTTTAGGCAGGACGAGGCTGGGACAGGAAATCAATAGCTCCAGCTTAGGGTGAGAAGGGGGAGGGGTAGGAGAGGTGATAGGACACAGAAAGAAAGAGCTGCGGTGGGTATTAAAGCCATTAAAAGTCAAGGCCCAGGGCAAGGGGAGAAGCCAGAGAAATTCCCTCCTGTTTTCACCTAGTGTCCAGCCATGCCTCCAAGCAGGACGGGGCTGCAGAGCTGCAGACAGGACAGGCATGCTTGGGGCAGGATCCAAGGGAGTGGTGACCTTGGGCTTTTGCTCTTGGCACCAAGTGGATCCTGAGACCAACGAAGAGAAACCAATCCATGCAGTCCTTCTGGGGCCAGCCTTTGTACTCTGTGCCCCTGCCCTTCTTCCCTCCACCACGGGCATGCTCCTAAAATATAGAAATGCTGCCCTTTTGCAGGTCACCCCCAGCCAGAGGTGCTGGGGGGGGGGCTGGGCCCCTCAGTGAAGTGTAAAGATGTGAGTATAGTTAAATATTAGAGGGTCAGATCTCAAAGGGAAACCCTTAGTTTTATCTACAGCCAAAGTGAGTGAAAAGAACTAATCCTGCAGTCTGCAGAGAGCTGGCTACGCAAGGTAAAGCAAAGGCAATTTATTGTCAAGGCGGAGGGAATCTCAGCTTTGAGAGTAATATGAAATTAATTTCCCAGACTAGAGGGGATGCTGGAGAGAAAAAGTGCTCAAGTTCCTGCTCATCAAGCTTTCATTTTGATTCATTTGAGTGCTCACCCAACATTCACGGGGCTGTGGAAGGCCTCCGAGGGGACCCGCCAAGCCAGCACTGCACAGGGCCACTCTAGCCCTGCAGAGATCCTCTTTTTTTGAAGTAAAAAAAAAAAAAAGAAGAAGAAAACACAAAAAACCCACAAAAAAACACAACACACAGTTAACCACCTGTCAGGCCTGAGGATACAATGAGGCCCCTGGAAAAAGAGCTTTTCATGCATGCGTAATATATTTGTTCAGCTATTCACTTAATGAAGCTGATAAATGTGACGCAAGACAATAGTCAAGTTAATCTATTTAGTAAAATGTTTTGAGACTTTCAGGCTACGTTAAAGAGGGGACATTTTCATTTAAATGCGCTCATCTCCTCTCTTAGACTGTGCAAGGGGGTTCAGGCAATCTATGTGAATATAATTTCTTATAAATGTGTCTTTAATGGGTTTAATTCACCCTTGCCAGCTGTTTTGGGGGCTATTTTGTAAGAGCAAAACAAACGTTTCAGGCTTGGAAAGCTAGTTAAAATTAGTTTCGGTCAGCGAGGCCAAGCTATATTTCCTGCAAACCATCTGCTTGATTGGCACAATAGAAGGATTTTCAAGGAAAAAGAGGGGAGTGAGTGTGAAAGGGATGGGGGGCGAGGGGGGAAACGCTAGAAAGGGCTGGGGCAGCCGGTAGCTCCTTGTGGCCTATTCTAGAGGTGAACTCCTTAGAGTTGTCTTAATAGAGAGGCTGGGGCTGTAGGAAAGCTCTTTGAGCCACTGCCCGGCGCCCTCCTCCTGCTCCTCCTCCTCCTCCCCCTGCTCCTCCTCCTCCTCCCCCTGCTCCTCCTTCCCTTCCCCTTCCCCTCCCCCTCCTCCTCCCCTTTCCCTCTCCCTCCTCCCGCTCCTCCTCAGCCTCCTCCTCCGCTTCGCCAGTCAGCTCCGCTTCTGCGTCCGGCCCTGGTCCGGGGGAGCCGGGCCAGGCGCTTTTTCCTGCGCGCCGAGCCCACCTCTACCAAGCTTGCTTGGACTCTGCTGGTGCTCCACAGAGAGCCGAGGACGGCCTCAGACTCCCAGCCACCCTGAAACGGACCCTTGCCATCTTTTCCGAGGGCCGGAAGTTCTGGTCACGCTGCTTTACCTCTTCCTTTGCCCAGTTTGGTAGCCTGCGCTTCCCCGGGGCTCTGGTGGGTCCGTCCCCGCTGTGGCTATAGCAAAGAACCCTATCTCCACTGCCTGCGGGGAAGGAACCCTCAGGACGGGTTCTGAGTTCTTCCTACCGCCCCAAGTGAACCCCAAAGCCATGTCTGCAAAGCTAGGCTTCATTCCGAGCACCCGGGAGACCGGGCAAGCCAAGAGCGTGAGGACGGCCAGGCAGCTGTGCCACAGCCTCGCGCAGCATAGATGAGGATCTCAGCTCCACACCAGGGCCTCCAGTTCTCTTTTCTCTCTCCCTTATCCTGTTCCCCTGAAAGAGAAATAGACAGAAAGCCCAGAACTCGAGCGATTCCTCCGAAAGAAACTGGAGGATAAGGACGTTGCCGTGACTGGCAGGACGCAGGGCCCCCGCGGGCTCGGGTCAAGCGGCATTCGTCACAGGTCTTAGCTCGGCCGCCGAGGCTGGCGCGGAGTTTGAAAAGACGCGTTCAAGGAGACCTCTGAAAGTAAGCTCCTCTCGTCCTTTGGATCTCTTGCTTCTTTAGGGTTTATTTTTGCCTTTCCACGGGCGCCCAGCCCTCGCCTCCCTCTCCCCCTCCCCTGTGCTGCTGTCCTTTTCGGGGCCTGAAGAGTTCTGTAGGAGGCTGTGGAAACGACTGCAGGAAGCCGGGTCCACGTGGATCGCACCCAGGGGGTGACCCTCCTTCCAAAACCGGTCAGAGACGCCTTTTAAAAGCAGAGGCGTTAGCAGCAGTTAGTCCAGGGTGAGGCAGAAGGACCGGTGTGTGGAGGGGGCAGGGAACGGTCAACCGAAGGGATAATAACTGTAAAAACTACGCTCGGAAATGCCCAGCAGGGAAAGGGCCGCGAAGGAGGGCGCTGGGAAGGCCCCGCGCCCACAAGCCCCAAAGACTCGCTGCAAACGCAGGCCAGCGCGTCTGGAAGATCGCGGCGCCTAGGCAGGAGAGGGACTTGGTCACCTTCAGCGCTGGCAACTCCAGGCCTCTAGACTGCGAAGGGGGCCTCGGGGGAGGGTGCCGGACAGCACTGGGGCTGTGGGGGCGGGTACCCCGGGAGCGCAAAGGAACCAGGGAGTGAGGAAGAGAGCCGACCCTTCGGCAATGGATCTCCGAGAGGGTTTAAACTTCTCATCTATTTTATTGCCAAAGCTGGGGAAGAGAAACTTTTGAAGTCCTGCGGCAGACCTCCCTCTTCCGTTTCCAGGGGCCTCCAATTAACTCTAGCAACGCATTCCCCCTGTTTAAAAGGCCACTAACTCAGACGGCAGCGTTGCTTTCCTAATTGGCTTTCTTCTCCTGCCCTGCCTGGCCGCCAGGACGCCTCCATAAACACACTTGGGCTTGGAAACTCCTCACTTGCGTCATCTCCCAGCATTCATTCGCCTCCAGAGCCCGGTCCTAAATAACTTTTTAATTTGAATCAAGGGAGAGCTTTAGCGCGCTCCGTTTCTGGTTTAATGTGATATAAATCACAGATGCACTTTTATTGAATGGTTAAAGCAGCGACATGGAGATCATCCACACAAAACGCCCTGAACAAAACCATCGAGAGAAATAAAGCTGGTTAATAAGATTTTTGAGAAAGCTTTGTGTTAAAAAGCAAAAAGGAAAACCAGCTGAAGGTGACAGTTAGTTCATGGTTAATAGGATCAGGGCGGCCTAGCGGGGCTGCACACTTCTCTTGGGGGAGGTTCAGCCACACGAAAGGAATGAATGGGACGTTTAACACATCTGTTATCTCGGGGAGCAGAGAAATGGGACAGAGGCTCCGCGGCACCTCAGTCCCAGCCCGGAGAACAGCGAAGGGATTGTCTCTGGGAGCATTCCCGCCTGAGGTGGGTCGGGTTTAGGAGAGGCTTTTACGGTGAGCACCCACGTTCTTGGGAACCTCGTCCTTCCCTCCGGTTTTTGTTTATTCTTACCTTGCTGTTAAAGAGCTGCAAAACCTTGGCCACATTGTGCGCCCCAAAGTAGATAGGGTCGTGTAACTCAAACGCCTAGAGATCCCTGAGTTTGGAAAAAAGCTGGGGTGCTGCTGGCGTTGAGTCCCCTTATCTGTGGTAGCTTCTTGGGTCACATTCTGCACCCAGCCAGGGGCAGCACCGGCCTCTGCATCTCCCCCAAGTGAGCTCTGTGTGCTCCCTGAAGGGACTACTAGAAAAACTGCACTGGAAACGGTTGGCCAAGGTGCCATGAGATTGCAGGTACCCACCAACTCTGGAACACAAACGGTCTTCTCAAATGAGACAGCCCAAATCAAGAGCACCCCAGCCCTTAGCATCACACCCTAAGCATCAATTTCCAAACCTCCCGGGGCCGTGAGAGTGGAACTTCTAACTTTGATTTAGTCCAGCCCTCACATCTGCCTGAGGCTTCAGCTGGAGTGACGACAGGGCTAGGCACCAGAGAGGGAGCATATTTTCATGATCAAGGACTTGAAATTTTCCACACACACCCCTCCCCGCGCACAAGGGGAGAGCTATTTTACTGATAGCCTGGAGATGTATTTCTATGAATATTTATTGATTGATTTTCCAGGCTCAGCGGGGGAGCTGCAAATAAATTTAGTGCGTTCTTTAAATAATTCCTTTTCTATGAGGCAAGATGTCATCCGAAACTCCTAAACAGGCATTTAATTAGCCCGGGTGTTGCTTCGGAACAAAAACTCCCCCCGCAAGAGCTTTGGGGGCGCACTGTATCGCGAAGAGGCGGTCGATATGCAGAATTGACGCGCGAGGGCCTTTGTTGGCGGCCCATTGTGCGGGCCATGCTTATGAAGACTAATCCAATCATAAATTGCACCTCTGCACCAATCAGAGGGCCCGGAGCCTCCAGCGAATGAAGCTTGAGTGGAGAACTTTGTTGAACTTCATTGTCAGAGCTGTCACTTTTCAAAGCGTTGTAGCGGGCGGGCCACTATAAAACCATCACCTCAACCGGAGGACCTCGGAGGACTCGCGGCCGCCCTAGAGGGATAGTTACTGGGAGAAGGGCACCGCGGGAGCGGGAGGGGAGGGAAGAGAGGCGTCCACCCTCGGCCGGCCGCTGGAAGCAGGGTCTTTTCCGCCCTCTCCGGCCATGATGTTCCCCGGGCTCCTCGCGCCCCCCGCCGGGTATCCGAGCCTCCTGCGGCCCACGCCCACCTTGACTCTGCCCCAGTCCCTGCAGTCGGCATTTTCCGGCCACTCTAGCTTCCTAGTGGAGGATCTGATCCGCATCAGCCGGCCCCCCGCCTACCTGCCCCGCAGCATGCCCCCTGCCAGCCTGTCGCCCCCCAGGCAGGGGGCCCCCGCGGCGGCCACCGACTCCGGGACCACCGACCTAGGTTCCCCAGGTACCCCGGGCACGGGCAGCCGGCGCGGCAGCTCTCCGCAGACTGCCATCTCCCCGGCCAGCGAGCCCACGTTTTTGAAGTTTGGGGTGAACGCCATCCTCTCCTCCTCGACGCCCAGAACAGGTAAGTGAAGGCAGAACGCAGACGCTTTCCCGACTTAGTTTTCTTTGAGCAGCAAGTGTCCTCGCGCTCATCAGTGCGCAGAGGCGGGGGAAGGCGGAGCCCCGACGTCGGGCAGCGAGAGCGTGATGTCCAGGCTGCTCCGGGAGGAAGAGCCGCCAGGGGCGCCCCACCCTCGGAATGAACTTGAACCGAGGGTCTCGAGGGCGCGCAGCTCTCCAGAGCCCCGCGGCTGAGCGCACGCCCCTCGGGTCTGCGTTTCCGCTCTCCCACTTCCCGTGGTTTCTCAACCCGAGACGATGCATTCATTGAATTAGCTAGTGCCGTGGCTCTGCCGATTTCTTCCTTCCCCACTCCCAGTCCTATCTGTCTCCTAGTGGCCGGGATGGAGATTAGGGGAGAGGGAGGAGGCGCAGAGGACTACTGGGGGGAGGAGCATTTCCGCGGACTAGACAGTGTTAGAAAGGTTCGGTTTGCTCTGTCAGTGCATTTGAAAGAGATGCCTTTGGAACCAGCCGAAGTGTCGATCCGATCCTGTATTCAATGTACAGCGCACTAATCCAGTACATAATCAAATTCTGTCCCCACCTTCAGAAACGTCCCCCGCCTTACTCCAGAACCTCCCGCCCAAGACGTTCGCCTTTCCCTACTTTGAAGGCTCCTTCCAACCTTTCATCAGATCCTCGTATTTCCCAGGTAGGTCTAAGTCCGTCTCCTGGCGAGCCCGCCGCGTAGCTCCCTGCCCTGAGCCGTATTTCTCCGTCCACCCCTCGGGGTTACGCTCTGGTTCAGAGGTTGCGAGGCGTACAACATTCACGAATCCGTCGCGCCAATTTGATGCCCTATTTAGCACAAGCAGTGACTGCTTGACACTTTGCACCAATTCCCTGCTCTACAAATTAGCAAGAATTGTCATGGTCCCAATTTGAGGCGGTTCCTTTCCCGGCGAGGAGCTGTTGGCATCCCTTCACGCCGCCGTTTTCCCACAGCGTCAGTGCGCTTGGCCACGATTCCCCACAAAGGTTTCAGCACCATGACCAATTGGTCAGCTCCTCCGGGCAGCCACACACAGACCGGCCCTCGCCCCTCCACGCCGCCGGGAGACACCTACCAGCCGGGGCTAATTTCTCTTTAAGACTCATTCAGGGCTTGGGCTTTTCACAAGACCACATGGGGTGCCCTCTTGTGTGGGATGCCAGGGGTCGCCCGGGGGGAGGAGGCCTAGATCCTTCTCTAACTCCCACTTTCTACTTCCTAACCCGATTTTCCGACCCCTTCTCATACCGCCCCCCCACACTGCCACTTCTTGCCATATCTTTTTAAAGAGTTTTGGGCTTGCAAGATAAGTAGCTGGAGCGGGTTGTGTCAAGGGTCGCAAGTGAAAGGAAGAACACCTTAAACCGGCTGCGCGAGGTTTTCGTCCTGTAATATCACCGGTCAGGAACTACTCAGCTGGTCCAAACTCCGAGGGAGAACGGAGAGCCCCTCCACAGAGAAGAGAGGCCCGGCGTGGTCGGTGGGGGAGGGGTAGAACGGGGCCCCCCTCTCAGATATCAGCCAAAGAAGTGGCACAGTTGATTTTTAAAAGGGGGACAGAGAACTCACCAACCCCCCCCCCCACGCCCATGCTCCTGGTGATCATGGAATTTGCTCCTTTTCTCCCTCACCCCAATGCACTAACAAAAACAACCCGAGCTTTATAAATAGCTTTTCATGTCCATTTAATGAGAACGATTGGAGCGAGAGAAGCCCCTGCCATCAGTATTCTCCCAATGGTCCTGGCCTGCAGTTGTGTTTAGTTTGAAAGTGTAAATCTCTTTTGTCCCAGTAATATATGGCTTTCGCTGCTTGTCCGCAGTCTTTTTCTGTTAGTTCATTACTACACAATTACCATTCACGCTTCATTAGAGTCTCTGTTTCTTTTTGTTTTGCTTTTTCTCTCCCTTAAAGCGAAACTCTCCCCCTTTTTACCATGCCAATACCCATTGGGAAGCGGGCAATGTGCTAATTAGCTGCCACTTTTCATGTATTCGGGCGAATTCTTTACGTTTTGTGGGGGAGGGGAGGAAAGATTAATATTAAAAAGATGAATACCGAGTAGATTAAAAAAAAAAAAAACTCAAAGCGGATTTTCCTCTTTCTCTCTCAAATCAGCAAAGTACCCCCTTTGCATTAAAAAAAAAAAAATGCAAAAGCCTCCAAGGTGATACGAGTTTGGGGCAGGGTCGAAGGAGTGGTCTCGGCTACTTTATTTTTACAGCTGATTTTTTTCTGTTGCTTTTTGAACGGGTCTGAGCAGGTTAGTTTCCCCGGGACCACTGAATGGAGAAAAGCAACAGGCGGTTGTCGGGGGCGGGTTTCATGGTTTTCCCTAATCCGGGTCTGCACGGCTGAAAGGCAAAGTTATTTGGGCGGAAAGCGCCTTTCACAGTCGCAGGTTGCAGGTTTGTGGCCCGTTCTAGAAAGGAGGGCTTTAAGGAGATGAAGGCATCCGCGAAGGAGAGGGGGCGCGGAAGCCCCGGGGGAGCCGCAGGGCGGAGGGGCCCGGAGCCTCCCACGCACCGCCTCCCTGCCGCCCGCAGCGTCCTCCAGCGTCGTGCCCATCCCGGGCACCTTCTCGTGGCCGCTGGCCGCCCGCGGGAAGCCGCGCCGCGGCATGCTGCGCCGCGCCGTGTTCTCCGACGTGCAGCGCAAGGCGCTGGAGAAAATGTTCCAGAAGCAGAAGTACATCAGCAAGCCCGACCGCAAGAAGTTGGCGGCCAAGCTGGGCCTGAAGGACTCGCAGGTGGGGGCAGGTGCCTCACAGCCCCGGGGGCGCGGGCCGCCTTCGCGGGTCCCATCGGGAGGGATGCTGAACCCGCCTGGGCCCATTGCGCAGAGGGGAAAACTGAGGCCAAGCGCAGGCTGCATGCTCACTTGGGCTGGGTGTCCGAGCGTAGGGTCAGGGAGGGGCGAGTCGAGCGGAAAAGGGGCAGCGCGGCAGAAATCACTTCTGTGGGTGCAGAGAGAGTGAGGGGCTGCGCCTTCCCCGTGCCCCGCACTCACCGGACCCCCGTGCTCCTCTTTTCCGCCCGGCTCCCCAGGTAAAGATCTGGTTCCAGAACCGACGCATGAAGTGGCGGAACTCCAAGGAGCGCGAACTCCTGTCCAGCGGAGGCTGCCGCGAGCAGACGCTGCCCACCAAACTCAATCCGCATCCGGACCTCAGCGACGTGGGCCAGAAGGGCCCCGCGGACGACGAGGACGACGAGGGGCGCCCCGGCAGCCCCCGGCCGCGCCTGGCCTTCCGCGCTTCCCCAGACCCCCGGCGCCCGCGCGAGCCCAGGCCTGCAGGGCCTCTGCGCGCCTCGCCCGCGCGCTCGGGCAGCCCCGGCAAACCTTCGGACTTCTCCGACTCGGAGGAGGAGGGCGAGGACGAGGAGGGCGAGGAGGAGGAGGAGATCACCGTGTCCTAGGAGCCCCTCTTTGCTCAGGCCTAATGCGCCGTGAGGTGGAAGACTGGGATCCTGTCCCCAGGCCTGGACGCTGCTGGGCCCGCCACAGCGCCGTCACTCCCCGCAAGGGCCACAGCCACACCCTTCCCACAGCCCTCTCCACAGCGACGTGGGCCTTGGTCTCAGCCTTAGCTCTTACCCGAGGACCGGTCTGTCCTGCTCCCTGCGGGTTACCGAAAACACTGTGGGGAGGGAGGTTCCCTTGCACCGCCACGACTGCGCTGCGAGCCCAGCCCGACATCCCCCAGGGCGGGAAATCTTAGGCAGGAGGAAACCGAATTAGGCGTCAAAGCACCAAGCACAACCAACTCCAAGCGCCCTGACTTCCTAGATCCTTTCCTCTCCCTGTGTCAGGCAGTCAGGGTCCTTCCCACAGCGGTTCCCTTAGAAAGCACAAAGGTTGCAAAACAGAATAAGCCTGTGCTTTTTGGTCTAAGGGAAATGCAAATATGAAGTCTTTTCTCTCCATACGTTCTCTGGGAGCAGCCAGTGCATTCTCCACTTAGGAGGAAGAGTCCTCTCTATTTCTGCTGGGGTTTTTTTTTTTTTTTGGTCTTGTGGGGGTTTTTTTTGGTGTTTTTTTTTTGTTTTTGTTTTTTTTGGTGTTTTGAGACAGGGTCTCACTATGTATTTCAGGCTGGTCTTGAACTCACTATGTAGCCCAGGCTGGCCTCAAACTCGTGGCAATCCTCCTGCTTCAGCCTCCCAAGTGCTGCATTACTGTGCCTGGCTGTTGTGTTTCAAAGCTTTTTCTTTTGAATTTCTACATGCATAATATATGCACCAAGCACTCCTCTGCCTTGTGTCCTTTGATTCTTTTGAGGGGAGGTGTCCCCTTGCTGCAAAGCCAGCAGTGGATACGATGTGGAAAAAGAGACTCCTGAGCCTCTTTGATATTTTCTTTTAACTGAATTCTGCTGTCTTTGCACAGCTTCAGGAACTGTACACTATTTTGTACATATGCTTTGTATGGATATTTTATACCAAGGTTATTGTGAATGAATACAAAGGATTGGCTAGATTTCTCTCCTCTCTCTTTTGCAATGGTCTTTAAACTTTTTTTTTAAAAAAAGTAGCCATTTAATTGCATAACTTATAAAGAAATATTTTGTATTTTTACCATGTACAGATTTTTATATATGTATATATGTATAAAATGAACACATGCCAAATAAAATGTAGAGTGAATACAGTGGTCATTAATCCGCAGGATGTGAGAGCCAAAAAGCAAACCAGTGTTGTCCAAGTACTGGGTTTTCCAAATATAAACGAAGGCTCAAGAGAGGGAAGCTTGTCCAAAGCCATCTAGCCAGTGGGTAGCCATGCTGGAAGCAGACATCTCTGACCTCGGCCCAGGGCCTGTTCTGCTTTCCTGTATCCTAAAATAACTATATTTGCTGTGTGACAAGATAGATAGCACCCAGAAAGTGGTACCAAAAAGTGCAGTTTGCGATTATCCTCCCTTTCTCTAAGACTGAAAGCACAGGCTAAGAAGAAATCAGTGTAGGTCAGGGTCGTGGCCAGGGTTCGTAGTGGTTTTCCCTTGTCTCTTTGAATGGACATTTCCCAGCCCCTGGGAAGCTTTGACATTGGTGGAGTCGTCCTTCACCTTTTGTGTATGACCAGGTTTTATCACGATGTCGCCTGCAGTCATGGAAGGGGAACCCTGATACAAACTCTTTGTATGTGAAATGAAAGCTCTGCACAGACTCGTTTTCAGCAGGAATGATTTATGCAACCAGCAACCTCAAGAGTAGAGAACTTCAGGTTACAATCTCCAAGAGGTCTGTTCTATTCTTTGAGAGACTGGTCTTTGCCACATCAGCCAGTCAAACCCATGTGATCCTAACTCACACTCCAAGAGTAAGAAAAAAACGTGTCGAGCTTCAATTTAGATAGTATGAATTATGGTGGAGGTGTTAATGTCTTCTACCTGAATGATTCCTCTTTTCATGAAAACTAAAAAGTCTCCTCTATGCTAAAGTCTGCAGCTGGGCTTGTTCCTGCCACTGGCGATTGCTGTTTTCCTTGAGGTTTATATGTGATCCTGAGAAACTGAAAGAATATTTTTTCTCATTATATTCATAGTGATGTTAACTCAAAAAATTTACACATTTCCTTAACCTATGGTAAACATTCAGTGTAAGTTCACTCAGGCCTTCCTGGCAGAGGGGACCCTTGGCTCTGAGTAACCAGCCTGTTTTCTGCTTCCCTCTGCCAGTGCTTGGGTATTCAGAGATCGAACTGACCCTGCCCTCAGCTTCACAGTAACCTCATGCTTTGCCAGTACAGCTGTCAGTTCTAACAGTCAAGAACTATTTTCAGGCATGGGTAAACATCTGGAGCCGAAGGACTCTGGAAACAACCCCAAGTTCATTGCAGCATTAGTCTCTGTAGTGAGGAGGAGAGAGGAACCCAAGTGTCCACCAGCAAATGAACGGATAACAAAGGTAGTGCTTACTCACAATGGAATATTATTCAACATTTATTGATTTAGTTAGTTAGTTTTTGGTACCAGGAATCGAACTCATGACCTCAGGCTTGCCAGGCAAGCGCTTATGCCTCTGAGCTATATCCCCGCCCCTATTCAACATTTAAAAAGGAGGAAATCTCGTCATGTGAATTTCCTTGTGGACATTATGCTCAGTCTTTGTCTTACAAAAAGGCAAATACTGTATGATTGCACTACGCAAGGGACCAAAATAGTCAAGCTCCAAAATGAGAATTATGGATTCCAGGGGCGGGCAGAGGGGAAAATGAAGAATTACCTTTCAATGAATGTAGAGCACCAACTCTGCAGGGTGAAAAAGCTCTCCAGATCTGTTGCACAGCAAAGTGAGTCTAGAAAAAACTACTCCATCATATACTTTAAAGTGGTTACAGTGGCAGGGCCGGTGAACTTTTATGCTACACTACATTATTTTTTAATTTTTAGAAAGCAAACTGGAAAAACAATTCATGTAAAAATCCAGCAACAGTCACAGTTATGGCAGGTGAGCAATATCATTGTAAAATAATGGAGAATCCAAGCAAGAAACAGTATAGGATATAAAGTATTTTTAAAATGTTAGCAAAAGTTAAGAAAAGCCAGGAAGAGAAAATACTCTGAAGATCTTTTAACGTGTGTGCTGCTCCTACATATTCAAGAAAAGGGAACCTATTGATGACTACTGAAGTCTCTCCCAGCTCCCTTGCCAAATCAGTTATTTTTCCAGTTCGCTTTCTAAAAATTGAAAAATTATTTAGTGCCGCATAAAAATACACAACACTGACCACTGTAGCCATTTTAAAGTATATGATGGAGTAGTTTTCCCTGGACTCGCACTGCTGTGTAGCAGATCTGGAGAACTTTTTCACCTTCCATTGGTCTAAACCAGCAATCCACAAATCTTGCTGTGAAACCCTCTATACTCATAGCCAGCACTGAAGGCCTAAACATTTTTTATTTCTGTATTTTTTTTAAAATCGATATTTACTGTAAAAAATTAAGAATAAAAAATGTTTAAATATTTGTTCATTAATCCATTTAAAACAACAAGAAATCCACTATATATCAATAAAATACCATACCAAAATAAGTTTAAGGAGCCGGATGTGCTGGTACATGTCTGTAATTCCAGCTACTTGGAGGCTGAGGCAGGAGGATTTTGAGTTTGTAGCTAGCCTGGGCAATTTGGGGAGACCCTACCCTGTCTCAAAAGATAAAAAAGGGCCGGGGAAGTAGTTCAGTCATCGAGCACTTGCCTAGAAGGTGCAGTGCCCTGGGTTCAGTCCCCACTACTAGCAAAAAAATGTACATATTACAAAGCAAAACAAAATCAGGGAGGAGAGTGTTTCACATTTGTGCAAATCTCTTTAGCGATTAGCTTAATAGAAAACAGATGGATTCTCTTCTGTCTGTGTTCAGGCAATCTATTTCAGTGTGAAGAAAAGGTGGCCATATATAAATATGCAATTCAGAAACAAATACTTGTACAACACTTTTAGATGACTGTGGCTGTTTTCTGATATAACAGCTAAACTTTACAACTGGTAGGATTCTTAAGGTTAGGTTAGATGCAATTTGTATCTTAAAAGGCAATCGGCGAGCTTTTCAACTCTGTTTCACTCCAACCCAGTGGTCTGTCTTGCCTCCAGAGGGCATGTTGTCCTGATGTGTGATTTTGGAGCACCAGGTGCTGCCCCTCCGGAAGGTATTGGTTTACTGCATTATGCAGATGTTCTAAATGTTGTGCCATAAAACATCACATTTATTAGTATTGCCACGCACCTCATCATGAGTCTTTAAATATTGAGAAACTATCAAGCTTATAGTAGCAATTGCAAGCCTTCCAAAGTTCAAGTTTATATTTTGAAAGCTCAAATTTTATGACTGAGGAAAATGCTTAGCTTTGTTTTGTGAGTAGCAAGCTCACTTCCTATATTTTTGAGAACATGTCTGTGATATACTCAACTCTGAGAAACCATGGTTTTCCTCTTTGTCTTTTTTTTTTTTTAAGGTAAAAATGGAGTTCCATGGTAGTGCACACCTATAATCCCAACACTCCAGGAGGCTGAGACAGGAGGATCACAAGTTCGAGCCCAGCCTGAGCAACTTGGTGACTTAGCAAGAAGACACTCTCAAAATTTCTAAACAGGGCTGAGGATGTAGCTTGGCATGAAGGCCCTGGGTTGAACACTGAGTACCACCAAAAGAAAAAAATGTATTTCCATGTAAAAATGGCTAATTCAGACAATGGCACAAATGCCTTTTCTTCACACAACCATCACACCTCAGAATGCAGCAGATGGCGTTTTTCACACTTCTCGTTTCCCTTACAGAACACGAAAAGGGTTGTATGCCACACACTCAAGGTTAAAACTGAATATTATTCCCAATTCTCACTTCCTCATCAAGCACATTTTCACGTGCAACTGGGCCTGGGTGGGTATGCCCGGGAGGGCCACGGAGAATATAACGA